AAAAAAAAAAAAAAACAATTAGCTGGGTGTAGTGGCATATGTCTGTAATCCCAGCTACTCAGGAGGCTGAGGCAGGAGAATTGCTTGAACCTGGGAGGCAGAGGTTGCAGTGAACCGAGATTGTGCCGCTGCACTCCAGGCTAGGTGACAGGGCAAGACTGCGTCTCAAAAAAAAACCAAATTAGCCAGGTATGGTGGTGTGCGTGCTGGTAATCTCAGCTCCCTGGGAGGTGGAGGTGGAGGCAGGAGAATCGCTTGAACCCATGAGGCCAAGAACACGCCACTGCACTCCAGTTTGGATGACAGAGAGAGACTCTGTCTCAAAAAAAAAAAAAAAATGTTGGAGGAAATTCTGTCTATTCAATTGGAAGATTTCTACTGCTGACTTTTATTAGCCCCCACCCTCATCTCTCCTGGGTCTCTGTTTTCTTGGGAATCAGGTGGGAGGCATGGAGTGATCACAAGGACCTAGATTTGAATTAATTCTGGCTCTGGCCTCCTGGATGGGGACCTTGGGTGGGTATCTCTGCCTCTCTCAGCCTGAGTTTCCTCCTCTGTACAATGGGGTTAACCCTGCAGCTATAAAACTCCTGTTGAGCACCATGCAGGGTGAGCTGTGATTTTTGTTGTGGGAACCAATTGCCATGCTTTGAGGCTGACGCCTGACCCCAGGCCCTGTTCCCACTGCTCCCACTCCTGCAACCCTGCCGCCTCACTCAGGGCTGTCACCAAGCCAGTGCTGGAAGGGCTCAGCACCAGGTCATGCTGTGCCTTCACCTTTGTTCAGAGAAATACTTATTTGCTTGGGCCTTGGGAGCGGTTGCTCTACCTCTCTGAGACTCGGTTTCCCTATCTGTGCACACAGTATAATGACAGTAATAGAACCTTCCTCCCTCATTAAATATCTGTGAGGAGTCAACGAGCAAATCTGAGTGAAGCTTTGGTCTAGTGCCGGGCACATAGGGCGTGCTCACAGATGATGGCCTTTGTGGCATGGGACCCTGTCTACCCCTCATTATTTGGTGCCAGCCCCTGTTCTCCACACCCTCCCAGCCTGGGACCTGCTGTACCCTGCCCCCGCCTGCCCCATTCTGATCGGGGGCCCTGCTCTCAGCTCCAGAGCAGTGCTCTTTTGTGGCCACCTTTAGTTATTT